GATGGAATAAAAAAGGACAAAAAAAGACAGAAAAGTGAAAGACAAATAAAAGTTTTGGAAAAAACACAGAAAGACAAAAAAAAAGACAGAAATAGACAGAAAAATATAAAAACTGAAAGACAAATAAAGGTTTTGGACTCAGTTCTTAAGTGAAGACTTTCCAGTTCCCATGTGGACCCCAGAGAGGGGAGTCAGAGAGGGGGGGAGGGGGGGGGGTCTCAGGAGCCAGGTGGTCTGAATACCCCCCCCCCCCCCCCCCCCCCTCATCTCCCCCGATCTCAAGAGGCGTTCAGGGCCCGGCTGCTCGGGGATTAACCTGAAGAGGGTCTGAGGGACTGAAAGGAAGCAGGAACCATTAAAGGGGGAACCATTAAAGGGGGGTTACATGGTTTAGTGTCCCCCCTCCTCACCCCCCCCCCCCTCAGTCAGAGACCTGTTGAAGCCACAGGTGTTTGTACCTGAGGAACACAGAACTTCTGCAGAGGTCTGAAGTGAATAAGATAAGACTTTATTCATTTCTGATGTTGCAGCAGAACTAAACTATTCTAAAATAGAAACATCTCAAAATAGAAATAGAAATAAAGCAGCATTAGAGAGTAAGACAGATATACAGATGACTGTGAAGATAACACATCTATAAACTGTCTGACAAATACAAAATAAATGTCCTTAATAAAATGTTACATTGAAGTTAAGTATTTGTTGTTACCAAAAGTAAATGTGTTGTTGTTGATCTGTCCCGTTAGATGCTGTAACGCTGCACATGTCTGTCCAGAAAGTGACTTGTACGCAGGAATGATCCAAGTCCAAGATGTTACCTGTATCTGATGATCCAAAGAACACCCATAAGTCCCGAAGCCTTCCCTATGGCCTGCTTGTTCTGCCTGGTATTAAACAGATGCCTCCTGGTGCTCTGCTCCCACCATCACCTGTCTCCAATATCAACCTTTTGTTTTTTAACAAGAAAAACCGTCTGGTGCTTTTCCTCCAAAAAATAAATCCAACCCGGGATTGATGCCTCTGGGAACGGGTTTGTAATGTCTGTCTTCCTCCCGGTGTCCTACCAAGTCGTCCCGTGCAGTAAACTGGATCCCAACGTGGTGTTTGTGTACTCTGAGCGCAGAGGAAACAGACTTCTACGCACGGAAATGATGAGGGGAAAAACTAGTCCTGTGCGTCTGTTTGTAACGAACATTACACATAAATAAAACGGTCAGTCTGTGGCAGATACAGTGCACAATCAAATGAATAGGCATGTAAGTAAACACAGGTCAGTATACAGATGATACAGGGAGAACAAAGTACATACATCTGAAAGAAAGCAATATAAACAATTGTGCCCAAAGATGCCTCAAAATAAAAAAGCATCAAAAAACGACTTTAACTCACAACTACGATTAGATCATATATCCTTTCTATATAAATTCATGTGAGTAGAATAAAGATCAGAGCCTAAAGACCGTCAGGGAGGAAACTCTTCTTCGGTGGTTTTTATTAATTAGAGACGCAAAAGACGAAATGACCTCCAGAATCAGATTATAGGAAAAGTTCAGATAACATATATTTTATTAATTCCAAAAGGTTTTAGTTACAGCAGCATGTAAAACAAAGTATGGCACATAATTAGACATAACAAAAACTGTATAAAATACACAATGATACAATATAAACATCTCAAAATAGAAAATAAAAACAGAAGTTAAAATATAAAAGTTGGCCGTGAGAAAAGATCTGTAAATATCTGACAGTTAAAACACTATAGACGGGATGAATCACAGCTAACACGATATAACAAAGTGGCATTTAGTGAGCAAGAATGGAGCATTTTAAACACACACGTCAAACTCAAGGCCCGCGTGCCAAATCAGGCCCGTGGTGGATTTAATTTCGGCCCGCAGGATAATTTGTAATTACTATTAGATCTGGCCCGCCGGTATATTGCACGCACACCTTCACTCCATCCTGAGGGTCTCCTCAGTTCAGAGCCTGAGCCCAAACATTGATGAACTTGTACCCAAGATGAGATGCCAAGTTTCTGGCTTGAACTAGCATCACAGAGCAGCACACTGAGTTTACATGGATGTTTCCTTCTGCACTTTCTTTCTTGAGACAACAGGGCATGTTTGGTTTTCTCTTTGAGGGGAATTGTTTTTTTGAAGCTGTTGTTGGCCTGTGGAGAAATGTAATCATAAGAAATGACTCTGCAGATAGAGCCATAAGAAATGAATGCAACTGATTATTTAATGTTTAATGTTGTTTTTATAGGCAATCATTTAAGCTTTGTTAGTTCCAGGTTCAATATGTGCAATAAGTTCATTTCAATACGTTGCAATAAACATTGAACCAGTCCGGCCCTCGACTAGTACCCATTTTTTTATTTTGACCCACTGTGTATTTGAGTTTGCCCCCCCTGGTTTTAAAGGAAAATAAAGATCTGAATTTATATTTTTTCTGCATATTTTTTACATGTTTTTACAGGAAAATATTTTAATTGAAAGAAAAGTCATTATTAAATACATTAAACTCTTTAGGAATACTGGATAAAAAGCCTTAGTTTGTAAAGGCCTTAAACAAGGGGACTAAAAGATAAAGAGTTCAATCATAAAGTACCTTAATTAAGGGATATTATAAGAGTTAACATCGCCTTAGAGTTAAATTAATTCAACTTAAACTCAGTATTACCACAGAGATATTATGGGAATATAACACATGCCCAAACAGTGTCTTTATATTAAGCATAACACGACTTTAGTACAATTAATTACACTTAAATTCGTTATAAATAGACATTACACCGTAAGGGAATATTAAGAAATAACATTAATTCGACATTAAGATGGGGAATCAGAGAGTTAAATAGATGGTACATTTGGAGCCTGTATAATAATAATAAAAATATATACCTTATAATATCGGCTGTAATTAATAGACTTTCTACATGAAACACCTGGAAACATTTGTTATAATTAGAAAGTAGAATAAAGGCTTAATTACATTATAATTCTGTATTATACCATCACAAACTTAGGCCTAAAAATAATATAGATTTCTTATAATATCGGCTGTAATAAATAGTAGACTTTCTATATTAAACACCTGTAAAAATCAGCTGTTTTTCTCCCCGGTGCTCCCGGTCCTCTCCGGCGGGGTTTCCTCTCCTCTCTGCCCGCAGAAGCAGCTCTGATCCCGGCTGCAGATCCGCGGAGGTCCCGCCCGGTCCTCTGGAGCTCCGGAGAGAGAAACAGAGAGCCGTTTATAATCAGGGACAGTACCGAGAGAGCACGTGGGGTGACGTTAGGTGACGTAAGGTGACGTGACGCACAGGTCAGCAGGTGATTGGCTGCTCGGCCTGCTCGTTTTACAGGTGCATTATATCTATTATAATAAGTTTATTGATTTATTAATTGAAGAGGAAGATGCGGGGAAATATGTTTGGATGCTCAGAAAATACAGCTAGAAGAGGGGAATTTTTTATTATTAGGATTCTGGAGGATAACATATACTAAAGTAATTAAATTCATATTGAAAGTTAAAAGGTTTGAGAGAAAGGTTTAAATTAACGAAAAACGAGGTCGGTTGCTTTTACTTTAATTAATGTCTTTGTTTGATTTTATGGGCCTAAAAATAACCCTCATTTATTTTTCTGTGATTTAACAAATTTATAATCCGATCTCATTATTAGTTGTTTCTTAATAAATAAACAATAATGAAAAATAAATCATTTTGAGGTTAAAATCTTTCAAAAGTCAAGACATTTTCGCAGTTTTGACATTTTCTGAATCGAAAAGTGAGTTAATTTCCACTTTTGTCAGAAAAAGAGACATGCATATTAAACATAAATAAGACACCATTATAATGTGTTATACATTATCATAAATAAAGTGTAAGATGGTAAATATAACATCGTAAAATTGAGTGTTAATTTACAAAAAAACACTGAATCTGCGTTTTAAAATATATTTTTTGACCTCAACTTTCGAAACTCCTATAAACAAAACAATAAATTAAAACTTAAGTAAGTTATTAAAAACAGGGAATATAACTGCAGCTTCATTCGCCTCCATTCATGCGTAATTGGATATGAAAGTGACTTGTGCGCAAAACAGGGGAAATTAGTGAAAAGAGGTCAAAATTAATACAAATACGGATAGCAAGTTTGAAATAAATTACTTTTCCAAACAATAAAAGTTCTAAAAATGTAAAATAAATACAAATATGGAGGAAAATATTCAACTTTCATAACTGCTTATTTTTGTATGACTGACTATAAGTCATTACGCATAACGAGTTTTACTTTTTAATATATTTTACTTGAGTAAAATACTGAATATTGGAGTTTATTTGTAACAGAATATTTTTACAATGAGTTATTGACACTTTAACTTCTTCCACCACTTCATAAATGGGATGACACATGTTGGTATTCAAGTAAATGAACAAAAAGTGACTTTTAGGGATATTGTGCCTCCGCGGAAGAAGAAGAAAGAAAGTAGGTCCAAAACATTTGACTTACTGAGTCTTTTTGGATAGAAAAAAGTGTTCAACAACTTTAATCCTGTGTTTTTAAAATAGATATGTTTTGATGAACTAAACAAAAGGTGAAGTTCATCAACAAACTATTTTAAAGTCACTGAAAAAACTCAAACAGAAGCAGTAGAAAGTAGGTCCAAAGATTTAATATATGATTCTGAAATGGGCCATTACGCACAACGAGTACTTTTGGCACATCTCGATGCCAATACTTAAGATACTGAATATTGGAGTGTATTTGTATTTTGTTCCAAATCTCACAAACCAAACACATCCGCGGAAGAAGAAGAAGAAAGAAAGAAAGAAAGAAAGTAGGTCCAATCCATTTCCCTCCTCTCACCTCTGTAATGTCAGCTCTCTATTGTCGGTGTCGCTCCGCCTCTCCGAGTTAAGCACAGCTCCTCCCGGTCAGCTGTATTTTCTCCCCGGGACGCAGCAGCAGCAGAAGAAGAACCGGAGGGAGGGAGGGAGTCTCCAGGACAAAAACCCCCTGTCACAACCAGGCAGAGCGCACCATGTCCTTCAGCCCCAAACACTCCACCTCCACCTCCACCCCATTCTCAGTCAGCGACATTTTGAGCCCCATGGAGGAAAGTTACCGGAGGTTCGGCGGGATGGAAGCCGCGGCGGGGAGCCTCTCTTACCGGCAGCCTCAAGTCTCTCAGCCCGGTACGCAGCAGCACCTCCATCACCACCACCACCACCATCACCACATGTCCTCCTCTTCATCCTCACCCTCCTCCTCCTCTTCCTCAGCAGCAGCAGTGGGACCAGGGGGACCGTATCACCACCACCACCACCACGTCCCCGCGGGAGTGCCGCAGTTCTCCGGGGCCGTCGGAGGCTTCTGCGGCGGAGGGATCGGCACCGTGGGAGACCTGCCGTCCTACCAGGAGACGGTACGCGGAGGCGGGGCGGCCTGGTACAGCACCCCGGAGCCCCGGTACCAGACGAGTAAGAGCAGATTGAAATACAAGTTTACTTTTATTTATATCTCAGGTTTTTGCAGCAACCTGGAGCCCCGATTTTTCTTTAAATCTCTGGTTTTAAAAGGAACATAATGTGCTTTTACGCACAATGGAAACATGCGTAATGTTTGTTGGCCTGGTACAGCAACCCGGAGCACCAAACCAAACCAGTAAGGGCAGCTTAAAATTATTATTTTAGATCGGAGGGTAAATCAACATAACAGAAGAAAATGAACGGTGGCACGTGTTATTGTATTGTTGTATTGTATTGATTATGTACTAACACAATCATTATAGGATTCATTTATATTGTGTTTTTTTGTATAGCCGTCACCATTTATTAAGAGGCTAATCCATGTGAGCCCCGATACCAGACCAGTGAGAGCAGATTTAAATATAACTTAATCTGAGGTTTTAAAAAGGAAATAATGCGCTTTTACGCACGATGGAAAAAGGCGTAATGTTCCCAAAACGTGTCCAAACTTAAGCGTACTTTATATTTGATATAATATCTGTATTTCTTCTATTATACACTACAAACCTTTTCACAATGCAGTTAAACTTTAAATAAAAGTATGAAGCTTATATTCTGAGCAGCAGTGAAATGAAATAAGACGATGAATAAAAAGTGATACTAATAAATAGATAATAATTGTAAAAGTTTCTGTGGTTTTAATAACTTATTATTATTGATCACAGTGAGTGACCACAGTGTGTCTGGTCCTCCACAAGGACTGATTTCTTTAAATGTTTAATCTCTTTTAATATAAAGGTGTACAGATGAACAGCTCCTAATACTTTAATTAAAGTCACTCAATTATCCGTAAATTATTTTGAAGATTGAAAGATTTTTTCCACTCAAATGTAAGTATTAAATTCTTAAATCGACCGTTTCTTAATTAAAAATGCGTATTAATAAAAAGCCATTAAATGCATGGCTTACCTGTCTGAACATCCTTTGTTTCGAAACTCACAATGAATATCCCTCCTCTGTTATATTAAGATTAGATGAAAATAGTGCAACGCAATGCACTTTGCATCCAACCAGAAAGTGCAAAGAGTCAATAAAGTGCACGAGGTTACAGAATATCCTCCTATTGATTACAGCATCACCGTACATGCATATTAAATAAATACTTAAGGTGTAGGCTGTAGGCTCTATATGTTATAATGCAACATTAAGTAAGACGGGCCTAGCAAACAGTCTCTCTAATTGTACGAAACATAACATAAACAGGAAGTGGCTTTGAAGGCCATAACATCTAATACTTTTAAAGCTGTGATTAAAGACGTTTTCTTTATTTAATTTCCCCTTTATTTAATCCTTAAATATATAAAAGAACAAGCATTACATCCTCCAATACCCATATCATTTAAAAGGCTTATAAGAAGATGTTTAATTGAGTTCTTTATCCATAATTGTTTCCTAATTAACAAAAGTATAACAAACGATTTAATTAACTAGATAATGTTCAACGATGTGATTATTACTCGTTTTTTAAATGTTATATAATTCATTTTCTCTCCCCTTTAATTCATTCTTAAAGGCACTCATTTTCTAATTCAAACTAACATCTGTTAAAAGCCTTTAAAGCAGGGGTGTTAAACTCAAGGCCCGGGGGCCAAATCCGGCCGTGACTTCATTTTATGCGGCCCCACAAGAGCTTGCGAAGAATATAATATGTTTACTATATGGTGGAATGCTACTTTAAAGAAGCACGTTGCCCATAAACTACATGTCCCACAATGCATCTCAAAGTTGACTTTTCTTCTCAGAATCTGATTGTTTTTCAAAATGTCACTTTTTTTTTTTATTTTGACTTTTTTTCCAGAATTTGGCTTTTCTTTTTAAATCCTTTTGTGACATTCTCACTGAAGAGACTTATGAAGTTATTACCCTATCCGATAATAATCCAATGCAGACGGCAATAATGTAATATAATACATTATTTTATATATATTAAATATTTATATATGTATTTTTTGTATGTATATAAAACTGGCCCTTTGAGTGCAACCATGATGCTAATGTGGCCCGAGATGAAATTGAGTTGACCATAATGTTTTCCAACACATTCTCACTCCCAACTCGCACTATAGGGACGTTATGTCAGGATCCCTTGGCGTCACTATCAAACGCAGTGGGGGGCCCTTTAGCGTCGATTTTCAACTATCAGGGAGTCCCGTTGACTTGCATGGAGCTCCCTGAACGTTGGGATCGCGGAGAAATGCTCTGTCTGCGCAGACCCATTCTCACAGCGTTTATCAACCTTTTTCTGACTCAATATCAAGACACACTTATTGTTTCTACTTCTTTATTTTAATTGTATAATGTCTGACTTTAGTTGCCGTCAGTTAGGGGGAGAGTAGGTGTTTACACACATTTTTAAAGAAGGGATAATTTATGTTTTCTTGAGTTAAATTCATTTTTTAACTTTCCTTAGATAGATAGGGTGGGAGGGATGAACCCCTCTGTAATGGTCTCACATGCAGAGCACACAGTGAAATGTGTTCTCTGCTTTTAACCCATCCTAGCACCAGGAGTCTAGTACTAGGAGCAGTGGGCAGCTATTGCACAGCGCCCGGGGAGCAATGGGAGTGAGGGGGGAAGGGGGATGTCCAGTGCCTTGCTTAAGGGCACCACGGCAGGGCAGGAGGTGAACTGGGACCTCTCCAAGTAGCAGTCCACACTCCATATTTTAGGTCTGTTCGGGGACTTGAACCGGCGACCCTACGGCTCACAGTCCAAGCCCCTACTGACTGAGCCACTGCCGGACAGTTGAATTAGTTAATTGCCTTCTAATCCAAAAATGTATTTATAAGTAAAATGATTGTTCTTTCCCCATTCTTTCATTCTTAAAATCCAATATTTTCCAATTAAAACGAATATAACAATCCATTAATAAGGACCGTGGTTGTTAAGCAACATTTAAGGATAATAGTTGTTTTTTTTCATCAGTAAAACAACTTCCTTTCCTCCTCCTCTTAATTCTGAAATGTTTTATTAGCCTGGTTGAAAAGGTATTTATAATAAGCCATTTAATTCATCAAGGCCATTAGGATGTTATACTAGAGTTATACTGCTTTTAATCTGTAAGTAATGTTGTGTTTTTTATATTTTAAGTGTGTTTTCATTATTTTTTAAAGCATGTCTGAGTATCTCGAAAGCGCTCTATAAATAAAATGCATCATTATTATTATAAAATGTTGAGGATGAGATTCTTTGAAATAGTTTCCTAATCAAAATATGCATAACTTTTTATAAAAGGCTTTTATTATTATGTTATGTTTGATACATGCAATACTATGATTATTACTGATTTAAGTGAATTGTATTTCCCCTTATTTTAAGATGTAATTGGGCATAGTTTAAAATTAATAAGTATTACATTCATCGTTTAAGGATTTGATTACTGCTGTTGTCTTCATTTCTTTCCCATTCATTTTAATAGAATAACAATCCATTCATAATAAGCACAATGTTTGATAAGACTGGTTTCAGGATGTCAGTATCGGATGTTTTCTTGAGTAATACCTTTCTTTCTTTCCCGTGTATTTTAATGTAATAGAAAAACAATCCATTAGCAATGTTTGACTCATTTAAAGAAAACCATGTTTCCTTGAGTTCTTTCTCTCCCCATGTTTCTATCCAATCAACGATCGTTTCTCCTCTAAGTCTCCAGGTTCATGAACCCCTCGGGAGGGATGAACATGTCCGGGATGGTGAGCAGTTTGTCCGGCATGGATCCCTGCAACAAGTCCATGGTGACCATGCACGCGAATCCGCGGAGGAAGCGGCGCGTGCTCTTCTCGCAGGCGCAGGTGTACGAGCTGGAGCGGCGCTTCAAGCAGCAGAAGTACCTGTCCGCGCCAGAGAGGGAACACCTGGCCGGACTCATCCACCTGAGCCCCAACCAGGTGAAGATATGGTTCCAGAACCACCGGTACAAACTGAAGCGGCAGAACAAGGACAAAGTGCCGCAGCAGGAAGGAGGAGGAAACACCGCTGAAGGTCTTTGCGCAACGACGCACCGCTCCTCCTCCGTGTCCCCGGTGCTCTCCAAGACCGGTAAAAGCTGCCAGGATGAGTCCAGCCACACCGGAAACAGACGGGTGGAGGTTCTGCTCGCAAGCGGAAACCCGCGTTCCTCCGCAGAGGTGCTGGATGATTTGTCCCAAAGTCCGCCGCTCGGCCTTCATGGACAGATCAACATGACGCAGACGGACGCGGCGCTAATCGAGTACACGAACAGCATGATGGGGTCCAATTTACTGTACGGGAGGACTTGGTAGGGACACCGGGAGGAAGAGAGACATTTACCCGTTCTGAGAGGCATAAATCCCGGGTTGGATTTCTCTTTGGGAGGACAAAAAAGTCGCACAAGAGTTTTTTCTTTTCTTATTATTTCCGTGCGTAAAAGTCTGTTTCTTTTACGCACCGAGCACACAAACAGCATGACGGGGTCCATTTTACTCTATGGGAGGACTTGGTGGGGACACCGGGAGGAAGACAGACTTTTACCCGTTCTGAGAGGTATAAATCCCGGGTTGGATTTCTTTTTTGGGAGGAGAAAGAAAAAAGCACCAGACTGTTTTTCTCGTCTTTTTACTCACCATAAAAGTCTGGTTCCTTTACGCACAGAGTACACAAACGGCATTATGGGGTCCAATTTACTGTACAGGAGGACTTGGTGGGGACACCGGGAGGAAGACAGACTTTTACCCGTTCTGAGAGGCTTAACTCCCGGGTTGGATTTCTTTTTTGGGAGGAGAAAAAAGACGCACAAGACTAGTTTTTCCCCTCATCATTTCCGTGCGTAAAAGTCTGTTTCCTCTGCGCTCAGAGTACACAAACACCACGTTGGGATCCAATTTACTGCACGGGACGACTTGGTAGGGACACCGGGAGGAAGACGAACATTAAAAACCCGTTCTCAGAGGCATCAACCCCGAATTGGATTTCTTTTTTGGAGGAAAAGCACCAGACGGTTTTTGTCATTTTTTCCATGCGTAAAAGTCTGGTTCCTTTACGCACACAGGGACACTAAAGAGCAATACCGTGCTAACAATGAACTTTAAATGACAGCCTTGGACTGAATGTTAATACTCTTCCTCTTTAAAATACTTTTTTTTTGTAACTGACAAAATGTGAATGCTGCTGCGTTTAAAGGGGGATGAGCCACTTTCCCTTTTTCATCCAATTACGCAAATTAAATTATTGCAGGTTTATATATAAAAGGTGAAGCACTAGAGGCCGGTTTGAAAACATTATCCCACATATTTTCATTTCCAGTAAATCATTCATTTTTCTGTCACATTTTTGTTTTGAATAAATGATATTTGCATTTTGGATATTTTAATGTTTTGTTGAAGCAAATACTTTAAACATTTGAATCATTAAATGTTATTAATATCATAATTATTAATAACAGCTGCTTTTCAAAAAGACTGATTTTGGATATAAATGTTTTTTTTTACTGAAGAAATCTTCAAATGTTCTGCATTTAAATCTCAAAAATCACCTTTTTTAAAATATGTTAAAGTGTAAAGTGAAATTTAAGGGTGAATTTGAAGTAAGAAAAACTCCTTTAAGGGTCAGGTAATTCCTGAAAGACAAATAAAACCTGATATCATTTAAAAGTAAATATTGAGTTTTATTACGAATTAAAGTCGGTATTCCTGTCCAATTAAGGTGATATTTAAGGGTGATTTTAAGTGGAAAAAAGTCCTTTATTGGCGAGATAATTCCTGTCAGACACATTAAACCTTATAAGAAAATTTAAAAATGTATCTTGAGTTTTAATACAAAACAAGTGAAGATTAAAGCCTTTAGTAGTAATTTAAGGGTGAATTTAAGTGTTGAATTGAATAAAATGTTACGGTTGATTTAAAGAAAAAGTATTTTATGTTAGGGATAATTCCTGTTGGACAAATATCACTAAATAATAATAATAATCATATCATCATTAAAAAGGAATCTTGATTATATTGAGAATTTAAAGTCTGTATTTCTGTCTAAGTTAGAATTTAAGGGTGAATTCAAATGTTAAATTTAATACAGTTTTAAGGGTGATTTAAAGGGAAAAAAAGGCCTTTATAGATAAGATCATTCCTGTCAGACAAATATCACTTAATAAAATATATTATAATAATAAAAAAAAAAATCTAGATTATATTGAGAATTTAATGTCGGTATTTCTGTCAAAAGTGAACATTTAAGGGTGATTTTAAGGGGAACCCAGGCCCTTTATGGGTGAGATAATTCCTGTTGGACACATATAACTTAGTAATAATAATACAAGATAATAAAAAAATGAAAGAAGCTTGATCATATTTAGAATTTAAAGTCTGTATTTCAGTCAAAAGTTAACATTTAAGGGTGATTTTAAGGGGAAACCAGGCCCTTATGGGTGAGATCATTCCTGCTGGACACATATACCCCACATGAGTGTTATTCTTTTATTTCACATGCTTATCTTACGTTTTAAACACATGAATCTCCGGGAGAGATCTGCCTAAAGAATAAACACAGCGGGACTCTGTCCGGGACACACTTGTATTTTCACAAGGTCTAAAAAAATCACATTTTCATATTACACGTTTTTTTTTTTTGTGTGGATAAAAAGGAAAAAAAAACACAACAAATTAAATTGTACAATTAAGACAATTCTGACATTTCTCCCCTAAAAAACAGACGCAAAGTCCCAAAAGACTCGAGTTTGAGCTCAGTTGTTCCAGTCGTATCTCCTGGAGGGAGGCGGGGCCGGGAACCCTCTGGAGCCGTAGCCCTGGAACACAAAATAAACAAGAATTAGTAAAAAAAATTAAACCCCAGATGGATTTGTGACAAAATGTTTTGGTGTAACTCCAGCCGGCGTTTAAAACCTAAAAGCGATGTTATTCAGAGTCAAAGACAGGACAGGGAAAAGATGACGAAAAAAAAGGTGTTTATTTTATGGAAGAGGATGAGGGCCTGACATGTGAAGAGCATTTTGAGATCTGACCAAAAAAAAAACTGACATTTTATTTTGAGTTCTGAGAAAAAAAAGTGGGAATTCTGAGAACGAAAAGTCTGAATTCTGAGAAGTTGGAAATCTGAGATTAAGGTCGGAATTCTAGGAAAGAAGTCTGAATTCTTCTTAGACCTAACAAAGGAATATTCTTTTTTTTCAGAGATATTAGTCAGAGTTCTCAGAAAAAATAAAATCTCAAATCTCAGAATCCTTGTTTTATAGAGCTAACCAAAATGGTCTTTATGTTTTAGTTCTGAGTTTCAAGTCTTGAGAAAAAAGTGACAATTCTGGGGAAAAAACTAAATTATCCGAAAAAATACAAAATTATCAAAAAAACTCACAAATCTCAGAATCCTAATAAATTAAAGTTTTTTTCTTTTAAGTAAAATTCTTAATTGAAAAAAACAAATGTCACTTTTGGTCAGACCTAAAAGAGAGAGTTCACATGTGGCCCGAACCCTCTCTGGAGTTCATTGAAATCAAACACTGGATTAGAAAGAGTTTGATGTTGCGTTATGTTTCTGAGATATCAACTTTTTCATCATCCTATATTTAGTTTTTGGGCACGTGGGGGGGGGGGGGGGGGGGGGTCCTGAAAAACCTACATAAAAACAGTTAAAGACAATTTTATAACGTCAGTGCCTCTAAAGAATTTAAAAACAGCCACAAAAGTAGTTTGAAGCGGTTTTATTACAATGTCTCGCTTATGACCTGCTAAAAACACGAGTAAGTCGAATCCAATAGGTGTTATTTTCAGCGTGTGTACCTGGTGGTGTTGTCCCCGGCTGTCTCTCCGGTCATCGAACCCCTGCTGGTATCCTCCCGGCTGCTGCGGAGCCGCCCCCCCGCGGCTCTGGTTCTGCTGGTTCTGCTGGTTCTGCTGGTACGCCGAGCCCTGAGCCTGCGTGGCTCGATTCCAGCCGTGACCCCCACTGCCGCTACCATACTGCTGCTGCTGCTGCTGCTGCCTACACACACACACACACACACACACACACACACCTGTTAACACTCCTGCCAAGGTCTCACATCAAAAGATATTCAGAGTTTCTGTCTGAGGAGGAGATAAAGACCTCGGGAAGTGAAGGAAGCATCCCTGAATCTGTTAAACACTTGAGTAATATTTTATGCAATTCACGCCATTAAATCCAAAAACACTACTAAAGTAAACGTGCATATTTTCTATTATTGAAAGGGGCCGTATAGCGATGTATTTCCTGGAGTTGAAAGTCAGGCAGACGTAAAAAAGAGTGAAAGGAAATCATGTGTCCATAGAAATGATTTCCTTTCAGGAGTTTCTCAAGAGAAATAGTGGAAAAAGCTCAAATGACTCTTTTTTGGATTCTCTAAAGTCAGATTTTACAGCTTTTTCTCAGTTTTATATTTATTTAAACTAAATATTGGTGAGTTTTTGGACTGTCAGTCAAACAGTATGACTTTTAAGAGGTCAATTTGGTCTTTTCTGAAGTTTCATCTGCAAAATAATGAATAAAACAAAGAATAGCAGCTCTTAAAAGTAACTTCAGACTGAGCAAAGTTACTTTTCCAAATCAGGAAACGTCTGACTAACTTCCTTCTACAAATCTCTCCTTGACTCTGATTTGTGTTTTCAATAATAAAATACTTTGCTGATTTCTCCACTTGAGGACCCAAGGTGTGTGCATGTCACGAGGAATTTCTAGCCAACTTTTTGGAACGTTTTCAGACAATTTCCACGTAATTTCCCCCAAATCTTTACACATTTTTGGGGATATTCTTCAGCCTGTATTCAGCATGTAAGTGCCGTGTGAGGTGGTGCTCGTCGCCCAGTTTGATCTGCATCATATTCTATAAGCTCCTATTTCCAGCCCAACTTATAAAACCTCAGGACCTTTTGATCTAAAAAAAAAAAGCAACGTGACCTCTGCCTCTTCTTTTAAAGTGACCTCCCATCGTCGAGCGTTTACCGAAAGGCCTTCGCTCTCGAGGACATGCAAACCGCCTCTTCTCTTCAGAGGACTTTGCAAAGAAAGCGGCGAATATGAAATGAACCAATCGGATCGCCTTCATCTCTAAAATAAAGCGAGGGAGGATGCAGTTCTTCCGTGGCATCGAACGCAAAGTCTCCGCGGCACGATGTGTGAAAAGCAACTGGGATATTATTCTTTAAAATTAGGAATTTGTATTTTTGAAATGTTCTGGTACATGGATATTTTTCCTAAGTAGATTGGACTGTATTATTGTAATATATAGGATGACCTTATATATATATATATATAAAACCCATATTTTATTTTATTTGTGTTATACCTGTGTTATCACGTTCTCAGTGTTATTATTGATTTTGTATATTTATTTGTTTATTCCACACATGGCAGTTATTTTAAAACAAAACACTTATAATGGTTGTTTTTTTTTATAGCGCATGGTGGAAAGGAGCATTTGATTTCTATACATTTAGTTTCTCATGTAGTTTAATTTTTCTCAATCTCAAAAATCACTATGTTAACGTGTAAAGTGAAATTTAAGGGTGAATTTGAAGTAAGAAAAAGTCCTTTAAAATGATATCAGGTTTTATTCATCTTTCAGGAATTATCTGACCCTTAAAGGACTTTTTTCCACTTAAAATCGCCCTTAAATGTTACCTTAACTGGACAGGAATACCGACTTTAATTGGTAATAAAACGCACTATTTACTTTAAAATGATATCAGGTTTTATTCGTCTTTCAGGAATTATCTGACCCTTAAAGTAAATAGTGCGTTTTATTACCAATTAAAGTCGGTATTCCTGTCCAGTTAAGGTAACATTTAAGGGCGATTTTAAGTGGAAAAAAGTCCGTTATGGGCGAGATAATTCCTGTCAGACACAGTAAACATAAGACAATTTAAAAATGCATCTTGACTATATTGAGAGTTTTAATACAAAACAAGTGAATATTATAGCCGTTAGTAGTAATTTCAGGGTGAGTTTAAGTGTTTGAGTACTATTGGATGTTAAGGGGAATGTCTGACCCCTTGTTAAAGAAACTGTTATATATATAACCCATCTTTTATTTTATGTGTTACTTGCGTTCTCAGTGTTATTATTGATTCCTATACATTTAGTTTTTTCATATTCTCATGTTTAATTTGAGACCTTAACCATGTTGTGACCCCTCGTTAAAGAATCTAAAATGGAGTACTATTGGATGTAAAGGGGAATGTGAGAAACTAACTAATAAAGAACAAGTTTGAAAACAGAAAAAGGACTATCCCTCATTACTGAACCAAGTCACACTCCTCAGATTCAACCCATAATCCCCTCTCCTCCAAGTTCCTCCTGCTTTTCATTCACTCCCGTGCCGAGTAGTTTTTTTGAAACTGTGTCCGCTAATAACTACTGACCCGAGGTGACGCAGAGCCACAATGGGCCTGGACAAGTTAAAACTGATTAGGAGTGGAGAATCAATAGCAGGACGGCATCAGTGACGCCTCATTAAGCTGCACAAACTCCTCCAGAGAAATGCGGTTCAGAGCCGAGAGAAATGGTAAAAATCAAAAGCCCCGAGGGGAGAAAAGCTGCTGCGAGAATTAAGAACAAACTAAGCAAGGCCGGGACATGTTTGATGCTCCTGTGAAAAGAGAACGTGAAGACGGGCTTTTGTGGACTTGTTTTTCGCAAAAATAGGCACACAATAAAACGTTCTGAAGAGTTGAAAGCATTGGCGAACAATCTGGATTCTTAGGGTTAAGGAAAGTTAGATTCAAACCTTTTTTTGTAATGTACGACCGATTTAATGCAAAAATAATGATCATAAAATCTTATCTTCCAACCATTTGAGGTATATTTGGAACTTTAAGTATTTTTGGAACTTTAACTATTTTTGGAACTTTAAGTATTTTTGGAATTTACAGTATTTTTGGAACTTTAAGTATTTTTGGAACTTTAAGTATTTTTGGAATTTACAGTATTTTTGGATCTTTGGACCCTTTCCATACATTTTAAGACCTCATATCCACTTTGAGTTTTAACCAGTTACCTTGGCGACACACTTCACCTCACATTGACTATATACAGTATTGATTGTCCTTCCTCCTTATCTTCCAACCATTTGGACGCAGACTTGCATTTCCCCATAACGTAATGACCAATGTAACATGTAATCTCTCCGCTATGTGGATATAATGCAACTCCAAAAAAGGGAGAAGCCTGAACCATGTAAAGGTGGAGAAGTTCAAGAAAAACTATATTAAAAAAAGGCACAAAATGTTACTTTCTAAAAGAGGTTTTATTTATTTTTGTATCCCTAAAAGAATTGATTTAACCAAAGTAATAAAACACACTATTTCTTACGTCTTAAAAACAGATTGATTTCAGAACCTTTAATAAATATGAATTCAAGGCCTTTCCTATAATCAGCTGTTATTGGAAATGTTCGTGTAAGACATAAAAAAAGTAACTTTTTAAAGAGTCCATTGAGCAGTGTCTATCTCCACAAAGCATATGTATATTTTACACTTTATTCTGAATTATTCTGTATATTTTATTCTGAATTATTCTGCATATTTTACATTTTATTCTCAATTATTCTGTATATTTTACACTTTATTCTGAATTATTCTGTATATTTTACACTTTATTCTGAATTATTCTGTATATTTTACACTTTATTCTCAATTATTCTGCATATTTTACACTTTATTCTCAATTATTCTGTATATGTTACACTTTATTCTGAATTATTCTGTATATGTTACACTTTATTCTGAATTATTCTGTATATTTTACACTTTATTCTCAATTATTCTGCATATTTTACACTTTATTCTCAATTATTCTGTATATTTTACACTTTATTCTCAATTATTCTGTATATTTTACACTTTATTCTCAATTATTCTGTATATTTTACACTTTATTCTCAATTATTCTGTATATTTACACTTTATTCTCAATTATTCTGTATATTTTACACTTTATTCTGAATTATTCTGTATATTTTACACTTTATTCTCAATTATTCTGCATATTTTACACTTTATTCTCAATTATTCTGTATATTTTACACTTTATTCTCAATTATTCTGTATATGTTACACTTTATTCTCAATTATTCTGTATATTTTACACTTTATTCTCAATTATTCTGTATATTTTACACTTTATTCTCAATTATTCTGTATATTTTACACTTTATTCTGAATTATTCTGTATATTTTACACTTTATTCTCAATTATTCTGTATATTTTACACTTTATTCTCAATTATTCTGTATATTTTACACTTTATTCTGAATTATTCTGCATATTTTACACTTTATTCTCAATTATTCTGCATATTTTACACTTTATTCTCAATTATTCTGCATATTTTACACTTTATTCTCAATTATTCTGCATATTTTACACTTTATTCTCAATTATTCTGTATATTTTACACTTTATTCTCAATTATTCTGTATATTTTACACTTTAATAAAACCATTTTACTCTGTAGCACTTTGAGTTTTGATCACTCAAATGAAAAGCTTGCTTATAAATCCAATAGATTGTTATTATAAGCCAAGAGGGGAATTCCAGCACAAAAACATTGGACTTTACTTCAAAACACAAACCCAGAAAACCCAGACGCATGTGAAGGGAAGACTCACCGAGGGTACTGGGGCTGCTGGTAGGACGGAGGCGTTCCCAATAAGCTGTTCTGCCGGGAGTCTGCAGGGACAAAAGAGAGCACGATCAGAGGAGGCCGTGCAGAGACTCAAGTTTTTAGAGAAACAAGAGGAAAAGAGGACTGAGGATAGACAGGAATGTGCTGTTTTTAAATCACTTCATCATGTGATCACCTATCCAGGGTATATGCAGGAATCCTGAAGTCACATGTAAAACCTTTGAAGACCTTTTTTAAAACCCTTTCCATACATTTTAAGACCTCATCTCCACTTGGAGTTCTAACCGGTTACCTTGGCGACACACTTTACCTCACATTTCCTATATACAGTATTGATTCTCCTTCCTCCTTATCTTCCAACCATTTGGACGCAGACTTGCATTTCCCCATAACGATGTTGTTTAACAACCGGCGTAAACGGACCATCGCGCGCTATCAAGCAGTGAGCGTGCGATGTCCTGTTCAGATGACGTCAAACCCAACGGGATGCCATAAATAAACTACACAGAATCACACTGCACACCTACGCAATGATTACATTCAGGCAGACTGTAGAATACAACCTCTTTGGACAATTTATATACTTATTGAAAACAAGCTACAAAATGTAATACCTTGGAAAATGCCGTTTAATAATTTTTAATAGCCTTAATTTTCGCTAAATTGATTTATCAACTTTTAATACTTTTTAAGACCCCGCGGACACCCTGCTATCAGTGGGATGACACATTAGAAATACTTCACATTCACATCATTTTTAAGACGTAAAAGGTGCGATAAAACCATCGTGTTTTACCGTTTAAAACCCGTAACTTGAAGGATTTGAGAATAGACAGGAAATGTGTTGTTTTTAAATCATGTGATTACCTATAAGTGATCAACAGGGGGATGAAATATTAAAAATGATGTGAATGTGAAGTATTTTTTTCACGTTAAGTTATAAAACCTGAGAATATCATCGTGTTTTATCGTTTAAAACCCGTAACTTGAAGGGATTTGACTTCAAACGTGGATACGAATGAACCCAAAACAGCTGTTTCCTTTGTAGATAACAATAACAAACTTCCATTTCTCTCATGGATGCAGAATAAATGAAACATTAATGTCTTTCAAACGGAGGCTGGATGGAGGAGGGGAGGCGGGGGAGCAAAGCAGCAGCAGCAGCTCCTCCACATTTGCATTTTTTGTTCAGAAAATGAAATAAGCATTCATCCGGCAGCATTGTGGACGCCTCAAGTACTCGGGTCCATCGCTGCGGACCCTTCACAAAGACACACTTAAAAAAAATAAAAAAAGGAGCTAACGGCTTCTTCCAGACTCACTGTTGCCAAGGGGATGACCAGCTGCCGTTTGTTTGGGGTGTGTGTGTGTGTGTGTGTGTGTGTGTGTGTGTGTGTGTGTGAGAATCAGGATTTGACCGATTTTGAAGCATTCGATTCAGAGAGTGGGTTGCACATTTTATAAAACATGTTATTTTAAATGCTCTGTGGGTTTTATATATATATATATATATATATATATATATATATATATATTAATCCAACTTATTATGTATCTTTTAGACTTTATTCTTAATTATATTGGACTTTAATCTTAATTATTCTGTATATTTTACAATTTATTCTCAATTATTCTGTATATTTTTGACTTTATTCTCAATTATTCTGTATATTTTTGACTTTATTCTTAATTATTTTGTATATTTTACACTTTATTCTCAATTATTCTGTATATTTTTGACTCTATTCTTAATTATCCTGTATATTTTTGACTTAATTCTCAATTATTCTGTATATTTTTGACTTAATTCTTAATTATCCTGTATATTTGAAGCCAAGTCCCCACAGACTGATCTACTTTTGCCAAAAATGTCCACCTGCAGCAATCAAACTGCGCTTAACCGAGCTAATTAGCTTTACTTGGCTATGCTAACACGCTAAATGAGTCAACACACCTGCTAAACATCCCCATGTGAGCACGCTAATGTTAGCAGTCTTCCAAGACCCGACCGGACAACAAGACGTGGTGCAGGCACGACACACACTACCAATAGAAATACATTGCTTTTAAAATGGTGTTGGTGAACACGAATCAATAGATTAATTTTGTGACTATAACACGAAATGCCGTGAGACTGGGTTGAAATAGTAGTGGTCCGAGTCCTGTTTTCCACCAGTTCTCCGCTGCAGAGGAGAAGTAGAAACTCACAATTAGCGGCCAGCAGGCAGACTGCTGTCGCCACATTATCATTTTGTTTTTTGTCATTCAGTTTTCATGTTTGATTATCTCCTGCGCCAACAAACTTTAAGTGGACCACCCAGCCGGGCTCCAATTATAACTCTCGCTCTGCTCTCCCCTGACTCAAAGGACAGAATTACAAGTGGACACCTGTCAATCTCCTTAATTAACAATGATCTGAAAGTGTATAGACCTCCAGTCTGCGGCGGACAAAAGCCAACGAGGATTACGCTTTAAATCCTTAAAACACGCGATGTGTGCACTGTATTAACGCCGGGATTACAACGACGCCAAACAACTAAACGCCTCGCTCCGCCTCTTTTCAATTAGTGCAGCGACTATTTGACTCAGCAGCAGGACAGCAACTCTTTCTGCACAACGGAGACGGAGAGAAACATTTCAGATGGGATTTTAAAAGGTCTAAATGAGAGACAGCTGGCTTCAAATCAGAGGGAGATTTGACTGGCATCAACAATACAGTTTTAAAATGTCTGGGGCCCATACAGTATTGGACCTCCACTAAAATACATAATATATAGTATTTTAAATCCCGTAAACTGATGCACGGGAACTTTGTCTACAATTCGCATGTTTTTTGGCTTAAAACACGGGACTTTCCAATTAAATATTAGTCAAAAACAACTAAAAAAAGTGTCAAATAATGTCACTTCTGAAGGTCAAAAGTGACCAAAGAATACGTATTTTTTGGTGTTCAAATATATATTATTTTGCACATGATTGCAGCGAGCACTGACCGCTATTGTAAGCCGATTGTGACCTTAAATTATATTACATTTTCAATGAAAGTGACGTTGTGTGACTCCGATCACGTTATCCCGTAAACTTCTTCCCACAATAAATATTAGATATTTAACGTTGTTCCACTCTTACCATTTATCTAACAAAAGTATTTGTGTTAATGTCAAGCATCCTTACAGCCAATAAATATCCTCAAATCCTTCAACAATAAGTCTCTCTTAAAGTCAATGATGTTCCGTTTTTAGGATGTTTGAGGGTACAATGTTTGAATGTGTTAATTACTTAGAAACAAGCCGAGGCGTCAATAAATGAATCTCTTCTACAAATATATGTTTTTATAAAACGTTTTTTAAATGAAAATGTGTGTTTTCTGAGACATTAAAGCAACGTTTTATGAAAATACATTGTCTGTTGTCACCAAGGCCTCGTGTACTAATACAACTAGTAAAATCCTGACTTCAAATGCAACTCAAGCAGAAGTACACAAGTATAATCAGTTTAGATACTTTGTAAAATACTGTGTAGTATAGTAGTACAATCCTGCCTTATATCATGTGTTTTTATACACGTTTTAATATGAAGAAAGCTTGTTAAAACTATAGTAAAACGACAATATTTGCCTCTGAAATTAAGTGGAGTGAAGTATAAAGTAGCATAAAATGGAAATACTCAAGTAGTACTTTGTCATAATGTTACTTTACCTAATGCATAACGTAGTCTATCCACCACAGAGTGTTCATTGTGTGCAGTTGTTACACTGAAGTGTTTGCAGGCTTATCCTCCTCTGCAGCCGCTGGATGGATCCGTTACTTTGGTTCAAATGTGGTGTCAGTGTGTCAATAATGACAATAATGGCCCCATTTTACTAATAAAACTAGTGAAATCTTGACTTCAAATGCAACTCAAGCAGAAGTACACAAGTATAATCAGTTTTAGATACTTATCTTGTCCTATATCATGTGTTTTTAAATGCGTTTTAATAGGAAAAAAGTAACTATGCTTATTAAAACGACAATATTTGCCTCTGAAGTTAAGTATAGTATAAAGTGGCATACATTGGTCGTAAAGCAGAAGTACAATCCATGTCAGATACTTTTAAAAATACTGTGTAGTATAGTAGTACAGTCCTGCCTTACATATATGCGTTTCAATATGAAAAAAGTAACTATGGTTGTTAAAACTATAGTAAAACGACAATAGTTGCCTCTGAAAATAAGTGGAGTGAAGTATAAAAGTAGCATAAAATGGAAATACTCGAGTAGTATTTTGTCATAATGTTACTTTACTTAATTACTACATTTTTACGAATAAAACTAGTACAATCCTGACTTCAAATGCAACTCAAGCAGAAGTAAAAAAGTATAATCAGTTTCAGATACTTTGTAAAATACTGTGTAGTATAGTAGTACAGTCCTGCCTTATATCATGTGTTTTTATACACGTTTTAATATGAAGAAAGCTTGTTAAAACTAGTAAAACGTGAAGTATAAAAATAGCATAAAATGGAAATACTTGAGTACTATTTTGTCATAATGTTACTTTACCTAAGTATTGTGCATAACGTAGTCCCTGTGTTCCTCCTTGTTACAGAAGCTATTCAGTGCAGTTGTTACTCTGAAGTGTTTGCAGGCTTATCATCCTCTGCGGCCGCTGGATGAATCCGTTACTTTGGTTAAAATTTGGTGTCAGTGTGTGTCAATAAAGACAATAATGGCCTCCTGCAGAGACCCCCCCTTCCTCCCCAAACCTTATTAAACTCCAGCCGGTGTTTCTGAGGATCACAAAGCCTGGCGGCGTGTTTCAGAGGCAGCGTGTTGACACATCACCGCAGGGGGTAGAAACGCCTCAAAGGGGGAAGTTAACTTTGGTTTCAACCCTCTTCACAACGCATCACACACCCAGATGCTTTTATCAGAGAGAGAGAGGAAAGGGGGGGGTTGCTGTTTCCACTGTTTCCACTCCAGAGTCTCATTACTTGCCAGGGTCTCCCACAACGCCAATCAGACCCCCAAACATCACAAAAGCCCGGAGCAGAAAAGCCTGCGGT